GGGTGATCTCTAAGCTCCATCCCAACCAATAAAATTCTATGTTTCTCTGATATAATTCATCCTCCAAATGGATACTGTGCAGCTTTGGGGGTGGCACCACCAACACATGGGCAAGCTCAGATCTGACCAACTCCCTGCTGTGTCCAAGGAGGGATTTGGGGCTGGGGAAGAGACACATTGCACACACAGCCCTGACTGGGGTCTGCTCTCTCCACATCCAGGCGTTTTTCCTCTGGGATTGCCCCTTTGCAGCCTCCATCCAGGAGCAGTACTGCGAGAGCCTGACGCCTGCCACCAACCACACTGGTGAGTGCCCCCAGCCCACCCTGGCCAGGGAGCCAGAGGCAGGGATGGCTGGAAAAGGCTGTTGGGAGTGTCTCAGGGCTGATCTGCTGCTGCCTGGATCGTTCTGGGGGTGGTGGGATGTGCTGAGGTTGTGCCACAGCCTGTGCTGGCTGCTGCAGCAGCCTCTTTGCAGGGTGACAGTTGAGGCAGGTGGAAGATGCACAGCTCAGGAGGGTTAAAAATACATAAAATAGATATCTGTTGGGCTGGGCTCAAGGGAGAGATGGGCAAAGAGGCATCTGTCCAGTCCCTGCTCCCCCACTGCCCCTTCTCTGCCATGCCCAGGAACACCAGGACCTTTGTCCCCTGTGTCCAACCCCCTCTGCCATCTCCCTGCTCAAGGGTGATGACTGGAGGTGCTGATTTTCTGTGGAGACCACGTCACCAGTGCAGTGTGGTCACCAGATGCTCAGGATTCAGCCACTCTCCATCCCCCAGTGCTCCTAGACATGTGCCATTGAGCACTTTGGGAAGTCACCAGCCACAAGGAGCAGGTTCCTTGTCCAACCAGGCACTCATTGCTTTGCTCTCCCCCAGCTTTCTGCCTCCATCTCTTGGGTTTGGGATGCTCTTTGCAGGGCTGTGGCCAGGGCAGGCTCAGGGGAGCTGGGTGGGAGCAGCAGGGCATGGGCAGCACACTCCTACTCATCCCTGTACGTGGCTTTGCATCCAGTCAGGTCAGGGTTTGTGCCAGAACTGGCTTTTTAGCCTATATTTGGCATGTGACTTGGATGTCACCTCAGCACTGACAGGTCTGGTTCAGTCACAGCTTTTGGGGGAGGAAAGGTGTGAAAGGAAGTGGAGCTCACAGGGACAAGGAGAAAAGTCCTTCCCAGCTCAAGGATGCTGCAGAGTTCATTCTTCCTTGGCTGAATGAAGATCACCAAGCAGCTCTGGGGCAGGGTGAGGGATGATCACAGGGACCCAGTGCTGAGAGTTTGCTGCCAGCCCACACAGCTCCCCAAACCAGCAGCATTAAACACTCCTGCTTAACAAATCCCAGCTTGGCCAAGTCCAGGCCACCACAGCTCTGCAAGGAGCATCCCAAACCCAAGAGATGGAGGCAGAAAGCTGGGGGAGGGCAAAGCTGCCAGTGGAATGGCAATGTCAGGGTGTCTGGTCAGACAAGAATCCTGCTCATCACTCATGTGCTTTGCTCCCTGAAGGTCTCATCACTCTGCTCAGTGAAGTGATGTCCTTGGCTGTGTTAGGCTGTGAGAAATGCTGCCCCAGGGCTGCAGGCAGGTCCCAGAGGATCCTCATGCCCAGCTCATGGCCTTTTCCACCCACTGCTGCAACCTCCTGAGCCCAAGGGCAGAGAAGGGGGAGAATTTCTCCCATGGTTTGCTGCTGGATATGCCCTGCAGTCTCCACCACCCCCAAGCAGTGTGTGCTGCTTTCTGCAAGGATCAGGCTGTGCTCAGTGGGGATTTCTCAGTGTGGTTCCAAGCAGGATTTAGTGCACCTCAGTGCCAATCACCCTGGCACAGGGGAGAACTTGTCAGGCTTCAAATGTGCAAAATGCCCATTGTCTGCACACATCCAGCTTGTCATCCCTCAGCAGCTCACTCTGGGGTGGGACTGGCACACAGGAGAGCCACTTCCAGCTGGAGGAGAGGGCTTGGAATAAGAAGTAGAGATGAAACTGGTTGTCTTGGGAAGCAGAGCTCAGTGCCAACCCTATTCCTTGGGGTCCATTTAAGCCCTGCCTGATGGAGGCAGTGACTCCTACCGAGGGATGTTTACAAACCTGGGTACTTTGTTTTGAGGCTATTTAACATGGAGAGCTGTTAGGATGATACTAATGAGAATTGCAGCGAGGCCAGGAGAGTTAATTTGTTCATGTCTGCACAGCCCTTGGGAAATGGCACATGCTGCTAACACGAGCTCAGGGATCTCCCAGCTCCTGGCTCAGCAGGGAAGATGTTGGATGCTTGGCAAGGTCCTGTTTCGTGCCTGTGTGCAGCATTCCTCCTCCAAACCACAGCCCAGTGTGGGCTCTGCTCCTCTCCTGGGTCACCAGAGCCTTCATGACTGAATCTCACACTTTTAATGAGGATGGATGGCTGGACAGTGATGCCATGTGCCTCTCTGAGATGTGCACTGAGCTGCTCACAGTAGTAGGGGAAGGCAAACTGGGGTGATGCTCACCAAAACCCTGTGGCTGAGCAGCACAGGAGAGCAGAGAGTGATGAGAGCATTTCCTTCACAGGCACTTTATCAGACAGGTTTGGTAACACCTTTCACAGCAGGTAACAGTTTGACCAAGAACCTTTCCACCTGCTCCAGCTCAGCTCCCCAAGGTGCTGACACTGCTCCTGCAGTGCCTGTGCTGCTCCTGTTTCCCTCCCTCCCTGGGGGGAAACTGGAATTTCAATTCAGGAAGGTCAAATTAACAATGTTGGTGCCTCTTTTCCCTTCAGCCTTGTTGGCATCTTGCCCACCAAGGCAGAAAGATTCATAAAGGAGCTGAGCAGGGGCTAAAGAGGCAGCAATGAGTCCTGGCAGGGAGTTGAGGGAGAGACACGAGACTTGGGCAGGTTTGGGGACCAAAAATGTGATCTCACTTAGGTGGAAATTAAGTGGTTTAAGTAAGTACTAGTATTGCTAAAGCCATTCTGCTCCATCATCTGGGAAACAGGGGTGTCAGTAACAGCTCTCTGATCTTCAGAGATCCTACTGTAGTGGAGGAGGGAAGATGATGAGGTTTTCTACTAGGAAACAGTGTCCTGGCACATCCCAGTGTGAGCAGCAGCTACAGCAGTTAAACTCCACTTTGGACTGGCTGCAGCAAAGTCCCTGCCAGCTACTCTCAGCAGTTGTAGCCAAACTAGAAGGCTTTGCTAGGAAAACTCTGCCAGGGAGGGATTATGCTACTTTGCTCACTCCCCACCAAATCCAAGGTTTTATCCACCAGGGAATAAACCATTTGTCACACAACTCCAACCACTCCATGGGCCATCTCAGGACAACAAGCCAAGCCCCAAACCCAACCCACTACATTCTATATGCACTAAATACACATTCTTAAAGCTGTAAATGGATCAGCCCTAAGTGAATTAAGCAGATGCATCAGATCACTAAATACATATTCTTAAAGCTGTAAATGGATCAGTCCTAAGTGAATTAAGCAGATGCATCAGATCCCAATGACAGAACCAGGTTTGGTGCCTCTGATTCTTCTCCAGCAGCAAAGACCCAAGGGGACAGTCAGTGATGGTGAATAGCAACGAGGCAAAATTTCATTACAAAGGCACTTTGCTATCATAACACTTAATTAGCCTGGGTAATTATTTTACAGGGAGGATCATGGAACTTGAGTGCTTGGGAGGGTTGCTGGGGATGTTTTGAGGACAGGAGCCTTCCAAAGGTAAATAGAAACCCCTGATGCCACCAAAAGCAGGGCTGGAAGTAGAGTGTGAGCAAGGATTGAAGCATTTTGAGGCAAGCACAGCTGCTCCTAGTCATGCTGAGCACCCAGTCCTGCCTCAGAGGGAAGGCAGCAGCTCCAGCATCCCCATTTCTCCCCTGAGTGAACAGAAATTATCCCCCAGTGCCTCCAGGTGTTACTGAAGCCTTTACCACCTGAGTGGCTCCACAGCTGGGATCAGCCACCCCTCCCTGGCACAGCAGCACCTCCAAATAGAAGCATCCCCCCCAGACACCCTTGTTTGGAGGCAATAAGGTGTGAAATGGCTCTCTCTGCTCCACCAGTGGGAGAGACAAACAGCTTTGTGTGCGTTGGCTGCAGTGAGTGTGTTTGGATGAGATGTGAGATGAAGCTTTGATTGCCAAATGCAAATGCTGCAGCAGAGGCTCAGGGGACACACTGAGAGGCAGAGGCTCCAGGCAGCAGCAGCAGAGCAGTCACAGAGGACATCAGGGGTGGACAGACCAACTGGGTTTGGTTTACTGGTGGGGAGTAGCAGCATTGCCACCCTCTGGCCCTGCTGCCTTTTCATTCCTGACTCTCCCTCCCTGTCCATCCCCCTTGGGATGCAGGAGGGAAACTGAGGCACGACAGGATGGGGAGAAAATGCAGTTTGAGCTCAGCCCCTCAGGTCCCAGGGAGAGGTTTTGGTGGCTGCACCATGCAAGGCTCATTTTTCCATGCTGGCTGATTCCAAGTGAACCTTTTTCCCTTCCAACCACTCAAGCAGTTTCTCACCTGGGTGGATTCCCAGGTGGCTAACAGGGAGAGCACTTGCAATTTCATTTTGTCCTTAGTTGAAGCAATTACTGGTTGGTTTTTTCCTTTCCATGGATGAATATTATCATACATTTTTAAACAGAGACTTTGTTTCTGTGTGACCTTCGATGTCTCTGTCAAATTTGGGTCAAAACCACTGAGGAGCTCAAGGAATGCAAATGGATGGAGGGAGGCACAAACACACACTCACCCAGGATTGAAGGCACCTTATTCCCTACAAACCACAGCCTTAAAACAGTTAACTTAAAGGGGATGTTGCCACAGCAACCAGAGACATTAGCAAAGCTAAAAGCAAAGGTCATTGTTAAAATTAATTTCCCCCTAAAAGCCACAGGAGGCAGAAGGCAATGCTCACCACACTCTGCTGCTTCCCCAGCTCACATGCTTGGAAGTTGTGTCAGAAAACACTGGGAACACTCAAAATTTGCTCTGAGAACATCCTGAAATAACAAGGAGCCAATTCAGCTATCAATGAAAATAAATATTCCTCCAGAAAAAAAACCCTTCAGTATATTAAGAACATAGTATTTTGTTGGGGTGGGGTTTTTTTTGGTCCCTTTAGCCAGCTCCATCCATAGGAAGCCTCGGGAAAGGCTTTCCAACAGCAGGGATGAATCAGGGGGGAGAGGAAACGCTGTGTTCTCGCACCCAAGGAGCTGTGAATTGGGGTGTTTTGTCTTAGGAAGTGGCAATGACTCTCTCTGTGCCAACAGGACAAACATCTCTGCTACCCAGGAATGATTTAGACTGAACTCTGCCCCTTCCAGCACCTCCTGCCCCATCACCTGCTCTGTCTTAGGTGGCTCTTCCAGC